CTTAAACCCTCTAAACCACAGACCCAAAGCAAGCCTGCAAACCCTAAACCCCGAACCTACCTTCCAGCCATGCAGCGGGCTTGGGATTTCAGACGGGTGTCGGGCTCAGGTCCCCAAACCCTGAAGCCTTGTTGTAGACTCGTTTCATGTCAGAGGCTCCAAACACACGACCCCAAAACCCCAAGAAAGAAATACAGCTCGGGAGTCCCAAGTAAGGGAAGGGTTGAAGGCCTAAGGCCCCTAAACCCTAGACTCCTGCCAAGATGATTCTTGAAACCCTAGCTCTCAACCCTAAACCCTAAACCCTAAACACTCTAAACCCTAAACCCTAAGGCCCAGATGCGAGGGCGCAGATCTCCCAGAACCACCACTCGCTGCAGATTTGAATGGTCGCCGGCACGGCCACGTGCAAGAAGGCTGCAGTGGGCTTAGGTCTTTAGGGTTTAGGGTTTAGGGTTTAGGGTTTAGGGTTTAGGGTTTAGGGTTTAGGGTTTAGGGTTTAGGGTTTAGGGTTTAGGGTTTAGGGTTTAGGGTTTAGGGTTTAGGGTTTGGAGTGTTTGGGTTTGGGGTTTAGGGTTTGGGGTTTGGGGTTACATTCTGAACTAAAACGCTTTGGCCTTAGAGCCTATTGTTGTTGTTGCGCTTTTGGTGATGGGTTTGGGCTGGTCTGGCGCCTTCTTGTGCCTCCAGAACCCCCGAGGGGAGCCTAGGGAGTTCGGGAACCTTGGGTTTTATACCCCCCTTGAACCTTATAAGAAGCGCTTTGGACTAGCTAGCTTAGCCTGTCAGCGGCTTAGGCAAATAAGTTGGGAAACTCTCCATTACTCTGTCTGAAGGTTTAGGGTTTGGGGTGCAGGGTTTGAAAACCTAAACCCTAAACGAAAAACCGTAAAAACCTTCAAAGCCCTAAACCCTAGAGACCCCAAAATAACCCCGAAACCCTATACACCCCAATACCCTAAACACCCCAAAAAACCTTGAAAGCCCTCAACTCCTAACCTAAAGCCCACGACCCCTAAACCCCGAAACCCCTAAGCTCCCAAACCCTAAACCCCTCAAACCCCCTAAACCCCTAAACTTTACACACCAACCCTAAACTCTAAACTCCCCAACCCTAAACTCCTAAAAACCCCGAAAAACACCTCAAAACACCTAAAAACACCTAAAATACCTGAAAACACCTAAAAACCCTGAAAACCCTGGAAGCCCTAAACAGGTCCGAGGCTTCCGCGGGCCTCGCCATTGGTGGAAGGCCTGACGCTGCACGAGGAGGAGCTCCTGTGCACTTGGGGCTTAGGGGTGCTCAGGGTGTTTAGGGCTTAGGGTGCTTAGGGTGTTTAGGGTGTTTAGGGTGTTTTGGGGTGTTTAGGGTTTTTAGGCCGAGGCTGAAACTAGAGGGTTTGAATTCATTCTTTAGGGTTTAAGGTTTTAGGGTTTGTGGCCCGAACCTTTTCACAAAGCTATTAGGGTTCAGGGGTTAGAGTCGAGGGTTTCAAGGTAGACCCTGCAACCCATCTGTGCTTGAGCTGCTGAACCCTAAGCCCTGCAACCACAGGAACCCTGAACCCCTAAACTCTAGACCCCCAACCTAAATTCCAGGGTTCGGGTGTGGGAGCAAGAACAACAAGGCCCAAATCGGGCTTAGGTAAGGGCCATCTGGAACATGGTCTTGGTGGAGGATTTGGAAGAGTTCAGGGCTCCGGGTTTAGGGTTTAGGGTTTAGGGTTTAGGGTTTAGGGCTTAGGGTTTAGGGTTTAGGGCTTAGGGTTTTAAACCCTAATGTTGAACCCTCTTTAGGGTGCCGCCCCCCCCCCCCCCCCTGAACAGTCGATGTTGGATTTGTCCCTGTTTAGACGCTCCCGGGGGTTTATGTGATTTCAATAGGGAGGAGATTAGATGAGTTTAAAGCAGCAGCGATGCCCGGCAATCTTTCTTAAAGGCGCGCCACGTGGAACTTTCTTCCGGCGCCCGGACGATTTGCCTGTAAAGAGGGCCCCCCAAACAGTCAGGGTGTCCTGAATAACACAGCCCAAATTGACTTTATAGAGGAGAAACCAGGTAAAAACATTAAACTCTTAGTAAGGTGGCCCATGGGCTCAGCAGAAACGCCCGCCTGCCAAGTTGCTTGGAGGACCGACCTGAGGAGTCCACCCCCCCCCCCCTTGTTGCGGTAGGGCTTAGGGCTTAGGGTTAGGGTTTAGGGTTTAGGGTTTAAGTTTAGGGGTTTGGGGTCTACGGATTCGGGGATTGAGGGGCCTACCCTAGACCCTGGGTTAGGGTTTCGTGCGTCGCGTTTTGGCTTTGGGGTTCAGGGTCCCGGGTTCAGGGTCCCAAAACCCTAACTCTGAACCCTAAACCCCAAAACCCCTGAACCCGAAACCCCAAACTCTATTGACTTCTTGGGGCGTCGCTGGCGCCCTACTAAGACACCAAGATCCGCCCCAAAACCATCCGACACATACTAACTTGGAAGCCCTTTTGACTTCGAATCCCCTAGAAACACCTTAATGTCCCCCATCACCTTACTAACCCTACCTACGAATTCGAAAGGGCTTCCAAATAGGGTTTAGGGTTCAGGGTTTACGGGGTTTAGAGGTTCAGGGTTTGGGGTTTGGGGTTCAGGGGTCCCTAAACCCTAGCCCTAAACCCTACGTAGCCCTAAACCCTAAACCCGAAACCCTAAACCCTAAACCCTAAACCCTATACGGGGGTATGGGGTTTAAGCCAGCAAGCACATGCCCAAAACAGGTCCAAGGCGCGACTTGCAGACCATCACAGTGGCCCTGGGGAGCTGTTTCGGGTACGTATTCGTGCACGGAACATGCGTAGGGTATGCAGGGTATGCGGTATGCAAGGTACTCCCTAAACCCTGAGCCCTAAAGCAGGGGTACGTAAGGTACGTAGGGTACGTAGGGTACGTAGGGTACGTAGGGTAGAGGCTTAATCATCTGCTCATACTTTTGACAGACACGAAATTCTACCAAAACCCAAACGACTCTCAATGCTTTTGTTCCGATGCCGCTTGTGCTGGAGTGTGTTCGAGACTTCCGCTAGCTCCAGAGTCTTTCTTGCTGCCTCACGTTGAAGCCAAAGAAGCTTTGTGTCCAAGTGTCTCACCCTTGAAACACCCTTCTTCTGAAGGATCGACCATGCATCGAGGAATTCGACAAAGGAGTCTGCATGGGCCGCTTGGCTCATGTTCGAAGAACATGAGCCATGCACATCATTTTCTGCAGCTAGTCTTTGCACAGCACAAGCATCGCATGCTGGGCCCCGACACATGGACTGCTGCAGCTGCTGTACGTATCGGCATCCGTTAAACAAAGGCAGCCGTCCACGATAGAATCCCCAAGGAAAGCCCTATAGGCCCGAACACGCTGAGGTGATCCCTCTGGACTGCAGCGGTGTAGAGCTGGACTCCTCCGACACCCCAAGCCGGCGAGCCCCAAAACCAACGTAAACCCTGGACATTAAACCCTGGACCCTGATCCCTAAACTTAACCCTAAACCCTAAATCCTACACCCTAACTAAACCCTAAGCCCTAAACCCCAAACCCTTTGCAGTTGAGGGTTCAAGGCGTCAAAGGCTTAGAAACCCCTAGAAGGCCCAAACCCCCGGGAACCCCCACTGCACCCGAAACCCTAAACGCTGAAAACTTCCAGGAAACCCCGAAGCCCTGAATGGAGATCTTTTCCCAACAAGACGTAGAGACCTGCTTCAAACCAAAAAAAAGAAGCTAGCAGGAGAGGGTGTGTTTTAGAGAAACAAAATGATGCAAACAACTTTGAATTCTCTGAGATACCTATACACCAGACCCATCCCTCAATCCCTAAACCCTACAAACCCTGAACCGCTCGTTGAGTTAGGGTGTAGGGTTGAGGGTTTAGGAGTTAGGGCTTAGGGTTTTAGGGTTTAGGGTGTAGGCCGAGGTTCCCCAGGAGCCACTGAATCGTCCAGGTCGTGCAGTTGGCGGCTCCTGCGCCCATGTTACCTCACAGCTTTGGTTTAGGGTTTAGGGTTTAGGGTTTGGGGTTTAGGGTTTAGGGTTTAGGGTTTAGGGTTTAGGGTTTAGGGTTTAGGGTTTAGGGTTTGGGGTTTGGGGTTTGGGGTTTAGGGTTTAGGGTTTTGGGCTTACGGTTTAGGGTGTAGGGTTTAGGTCCTAAACCCTAAACCTTAAACCAACCCTAAGCCATGGAGGGTTTTCCGGGTTGAGGCTTAGGGCTTAGGGCTTAGGGCTTAGGGCTTAGGGCTCAGGGCTTAGGGCTTAGGGCTTAGGGCTTAGGGCTGAGGGCTTAGGGCTTACGGCTTAGGGCTTAGGGCTTAGGGCTTAGGGCTTAGGGCTTAGCGTTTAGCGTTTAGGGTTTAGGGTTTAGGGTTTAGGGTTTAGGGTTTAGGCTTAGAGTCTAAAGACTTGAACCCCAAACCCCAACCCGACAGCGACCCCTAGACCCTAAACCCTAGACCCTACTTCAGGGTTTCAGGGTCCAGCGCCCTCGCTTTCTGACTTGTGCTTTGCCGGCGCCACAGGGGATTCGGGTGCAGGAACCCTGGACCCTCAATTCCCCGAACCGTTAGGGTTTTAGGTTTGGGGTTTCAGGGTTGAGGGCTGAAGAACACGAAGAAGGGCAGTCGCAGATACCTAGAACAAGAAAACAGAACACCCTAGCCCCCGACACTAAAACCCTTGAACCCTAAACCCTTAAACCCTCGGCCTTTAAACCCTTAAACCTGTACTAAAACCTAAAGAACCCGGCCCTTGAACCCTAAAACCCTTGTATAGACCCTAAAAACCCTTAAACCCTTAAACCATGTACGTACTAAACCCTGAACCCTAAACCTTCACCAATAAACCCTAAACCCTAACCCTAAAACCTAAACCCTGAAACCCCCAAAAGCACAAAGAGGGATTTTTAAAACACTAGCAGAAGAGGGTTTTTAAAAAGTGTTTTTTAAAGAGGGTTTTTAAAAAATTAAGAACCCGCATCATTCTCCGTGGGGCCCCACTTGAAGACCACGATGAAGAGCACCGCCCACACGATGTGCAACATGCAGGTGCTTCCTCCCAACCGCCAGCGTGATCCCAGTAGCCCTAAACCCTAAACCCTAAACCCTAAACCCTAAACCCTCCTGAACTCTGAGCCTACACCCCAAACCCTAAATCCCAAACCCTAAAATCTAGACCCTACTATTCCCTAGCTCTGAACCCCAAACCCTAAACCCTTAGAAAACAAGGTGGAAAGAGCCCCAAAACCCTACAACTGGGAAGTATCAAAAGCCCGGGCGGGTGGGATGCCAACTGATAGTGCCTGGGGTTCAGGGTTCAGGGTTCAGGGTCTGGGGTTTAGGGTTTAGGGTTTCGGGTTTAGGCTTTGGGGTTTGGGGTTTAGGGTTTAGGGTTTGGGGTTTAGGGTTTAGGGTTTAGGGCTTGGGAAGCTTAGGGCCTGGAGGTTTTGTGGGTAGGGAGCCTGGCTTCAATTTTGCTTGGGACAGTTCTGTCAACAACATTCTCTCTATTAGATGTGTGTTTCGGATTTAGGATTTAGGGTTTAGGGTTTAGGGTTTAGGGTTTAGGGTTTAGGGTTTAGGGTTTAGGGTTTAGGGTTTAGGGTTTAGGGTTTAGGGTTTAGGGTTTAGGGTTTAGGGTTTAGGGTTTAGGCTGCTTTTGTTGCAGTATCGGCTGCAAGCGTGACGATATCAAAATAAGCTAGTGGGTACGCACACGAGCACCACTAGACATCCAAACTGCTGAAAGTTATGCTGTGCTTTTGTCACACAAACACGCGAGTCGTTTGTGGTTCAGGCTTTAGGGTTTAGTGCCATTGGTTTGTTCACTGTTTGGGGCTTAACCTCGAGCCTGATACCTCAGAACCTGGCACCTAATTCAAACACGCATCTTGGAATGGCTTTTTAGAGCTTCCGAAGCCCCACAGCCCTAACCCCTACACCTCAAATGAGCCCGATGGACAGCCTGCAATCCACATTGCCGGCTGCGGCATTTTCACGTTGCGGAGGTAGGCAAGGATTCCCTGCCATTGGAACTGCGAGAAGAGCCTCGCGGTTTGGCGTTGTGGGGTTCCAGGATTTAAGGATTTGGGGGTTTAGGGGTTTTAGGGTTTGGGCCTTCCCTTTGTAGTTTCGGTGTTTTCGCCCTGAACCCTGAACCCTAAACCCCAAACCCTAAACCCTGAGGTTGATGGGCTTTGAAGGCATAAGGACTTGTGAGGCAGCCGACTCGGATTTTGGGCAGTTCCCTACTTCCCCCCCTACCTTCTTCACCCCCCCCCCCCCCCGGGTACATGTTCCCAGGTCCCCTAAGGATGAGGGTTTAGGTAGTATAGGTTTCAAGGACCAAGAGACTTGAGGCATTGTCCGACGTTCGGGATTTAGCTGTTTTGGGCTCAGGGTTGTGGGGGTTAGGGATTTAGGCGAATTAGGGTTTAGGGGTTTAGAGGTTTAGGGTTTAGGGTTTGGGGTTTAGAACTCGAACCCTAGACAGTCCACGCCCAAAGCCCCAAAAAGATCCTACAAGCGTAATAGTAATGCAAACCCCCTCACTCCGACAAGCTCTACGATAACATGAAGCTCTCAACCCTAAGCCTTAGAAGCCCTGCACCCTAAACCCCAAATCCTGAACCCCAAGCCCTAAACCCTAAACTCCAAGCCCGAAACCATAAACCCCAGACCCTAAACCCTAAACCCTAACCCCCAAACCCCGAACCCTAAACCCCAAACCCTAAACCCAAAATCCTAAACCCTAAACCCGAAACCCTAAACCCTAAACCCTAAACCCAAACCCTTGGCAAAGGGGCCCAAAGGCCGCCACCCGGTTGTAGGAGGCAGCGTGCCTGGCTTTAGAATTCTGGGTCTCATCGGGTTTAGGGTTTAGGGTCTAGGGTTTAGGGTTTCGGGTTGAGGGCTCAGGGTTTAGGGTTTAGGGCTAGGGTTTAGGGCTAGGCCTTATATGAAACAGGGTTAGGGTTAGGGGCTTTGGAGCATATAGGATTGAAGGTTCAAGGCTAAAGGGATCAACAAGCGAGATTGCAAGGTCGGAGGACTGGGGTTTGGGGGCGAGGGTTCAGGTAAACATTGAGGAAACCCTCAAGCCTAAATCCTAAACCCTAATCCCCAGGCTCACGCTAGTTGTGGGGCCCGGGGTTTAGGGTTTCGTTGGTTCCGGGGATGTGGGGGTAGGGTCCTAGAATTTGCGCAGGGTTCGGGTCTTCAGAACTTCCTGGTTCTGGGGTATCAAGGAAGTAGGTACCCGATGTACAGTCCTTCAAAAGCTTCTTTCGAAACATATGACGATTTCCCTCATTCCCAAACAGGGTCTAGTAGCAGAAGCAAGGTGCCTCGCGACATCTGGGTGCTGGCCCACGGCAACGAGAATGGAGTCCTCGGCACCGGCGTGAGATTGCTAACCCCTAATCTTCAACCGGTTTAGGGTTTAGGGTTTGGGGCTTAGGGTTTAGGGTTTGGGGTTTGGGGTTTAGGGTTTAAGGTTTAGGGTTTAGGGTTTAGGGTTTCGGGTTTAGGGTTTCGGGTTTACCTCAAATCGCGCAACCTGCTTGAGAATCTTGGGTTGTTGGCTACGCGCCACGCACGAAAGTCCAACGCTGACAGGTTCTTGGAAACCCCCTAAACCCTAAGCCCTACACCCCAAACCCTAAATCTCCGCGCCTTAAACCCTAAACCCCAAAACCTCTAAGCCCTAATCCCTAAATCCCAAACCGCGCTCTGGCTGGCGAAGATCACTGAACCAAAGCAGCGGGATCATCCAAATGAGCTGCAAAGTGCCTGCGTGGCCAAAAGGTTGTTGGGCTTACGGCTTCAGGGTTTCAAGGTCTCAGGGCTTGCTTCAGGGTTTCAGGGCTTCAGAGCTTCACGGCTTCGCGGTTTCAGGGTTTCAGGTTTGGGGCTTGGGGTTTGTTTAAGGTTTAGGGCTTGGCTCTTGCAGGCACTCCACGTCACCAAAAGATTTTGCTAACCCCACCTGAAACCCTGCAACCCTACCAGGAAGGCAAAACTCTGGCTTGCAGTGGTCGACTTTTTGTGTATAACCCGAAAAGGACCAGGCGCAAGACTACCCCAAGCCTAAACTGCAATGCTAAAGGATTTTAGCCAAAGCTAGCTCGGGCGCTTGAGCCTTATGTCCTCAGCCTGCCAGCGGCTTAGAAGCAAGATTTCACCACAGCTTTAAGGTAGCACACAGACCTTGGAGCTGCTGCTGAGCTGCATTCCGAAACGCCCGAGCCCAAAGCCCCAACCCCTAAACCCCGAAACCCCGAAACCCTGAACCCTAAACCCTAAACCCTAAACCCTCAACCTAAACCCTAAACCCCAAACCCCTAAGCCCAGTCGCAGAGAACACGGCTTCGCTGCAGATATTGCACACCTCTGGGGCTTTAGGGAGTAAGGTGTAGGGTTGAGGCTCAGGGCTTCTCAATTGGAGCTGGAGTCTTACTTCACATTGAAACTCTTATGTACTGGAACGACTCACTTACTCTTTAACCACGCCTAAACCCTGCAAACCTAAAACAGCAAAAGCACCTACAACCCCATGGCCGAAACCCTATAGCATCGTTCAACCTTGAAACTTTCTAAGTATGACCCCATGGCTAGAAATATACATACATCGAAAACAAAAAACCATCCTAATAAACACATCTACACCCTAAACCCTCAACCCTCAACCCTCAACCCTCAACCCTAAACCCTAAACCCTAAACTGCCCTAAACCCTAAACCCCAAACGCCAAACCCTAAACCCTAAACCCTACACCCCATTCAGGGCTTCGTCGCGGCCGGGCGGCAAAGGCTGTGCTGGCCCGCCCCATGGGCCTGACTGACAAAGGTGTCCAGCGCGCTGGTGAGCCCGATTCCTTGCGAGGGTTTAGGGTTTAGGGTTTAGGGTTTAGGATTTAGGGTTTAGGGCTTAGGGTTTAGGGTTTAGGGTTTAGGGTTTAAGGCTTTAGGGTTTAGGCTTTAGGGTTTAGGGGTTTAGGGCCCAAGATGGGAAAAGACAGCTGCCAGCTTGGTGTCAACTTGGTGTGGTCGCTAACTCTTTTCGGACCTTAGACCTTAGGCCTCAAACCCCAAACCCCAAACCCCAAACCCCAAACCCCGAGCCCAAAACCCCAACCCCAAACCCAAAGCACTAAACCCCAAACCCCAAACCCTAAACCCCAAACCCAAAGCCCTAAACCCCAAACCCTAAAAGCCCTAAACCCCAACCCCAAACCCAAAGCACTAAACCCCTAAACCCCAAACCCAAAGCCCTAAACCCCAAACCCTAAAAGCCCTAAACCCCAAACCCTAAAAGCCCTAAACCCCAAACCCCAAACCCTAAAACCCCAAACCCTAAACCCTAAACCCCAAACCCAAAAAAAACAAACCCCAAACCCTAAACTCAAACCCAAAACAGGAGCCCCAGGAGCCCAGACTCAGCGCACAGCAGTTCCTGGGTCCGCGCGCTCGTGGGTTTCAGAGGGGGGTTTAGGGTTTAAGGTTTAGGGTTTAGGGTTTAGGGTTTAGGGTTTAGGGTTTAGGGTTTGGAGTTTAGGGTTTGGGGTTTAGGGCTGGGGGCCTGGGGTTTAAGGGTTGGGGTCTGGGGGTTTCGGGGCTTGCGGTTGCTTCAAGGGCTTGCTTCGGGTTTGCGATCTGGGGTTGACGGTTGTTTGTGGGTTTGGCGGGGTTTTGGGCAAAAGGGTTTGGAGTTGCTTGGGCGCTATCCTGGTTGCCCAAACCCTAAATCCGAAACCCTAAACCCTAAGCCGCATCAGGTTCAGGGCTTTGGAATGTTTACGGCTTGGAGACTTCCAGGGTTGCTTGCCTTCAGGCTTGCTTGCGGGCTGAAAGGGCTTCAGGGTTTGGGTTTGGGATGATGGATTAGGGTTGCTTGTGCGGGGTCTGGGCTGTTAAAGCAAGGTTTAGGGTTTAGGGCTTGGGTTTAGGGTTTAGGCGGTTTCGACGGATTTAGGGGATTTAGGGGTTGAGGGTTCAAGAAGGCTTGGTTTAAACGCCCTCAAAGCTCACGGCCTGAAGCTCTGATTTATTCAGCGCTTTATTCCAGAACATTGCTTAAGGGGTTTAGGGTGCAGGGTTTAGGGTTTAGCGTTTATGGCTTAGGGTTCAAATGTAAATTTAAGGTTTGGGGTTTAGGGGTTTACGGATAAGGTTTAGGGTTTGGGGGCGTAAAATGGACTTCCAGCACCCTAAGCCCCAAGCCCTACACCCGAAACCCTGAAACTTGAAGACCTCAACCGACACTACGAGGGTTTAGGGTTTAGGGTTTGGGGTTTTAGGTTTAGGGGTTAGGGTTTCGGATTTAGGGTCTAAAGTTTAGGGTTTAAAGTTTAGGGTTTCTAAGTACGGTCCCAGGGTTCTGCATCATGTTTCCCAGCCCCACAGCTGCCAGCTCCGCATCATTCCCCGCATGGCCCAGGCAGAGTGTGTTGGTGCACCTGGGTTTCGAGGCTTGACGCTCGTAGGGTTTAGGGTTTAGGGTTTGGGGTTTAGGGTTTGGGGTTTAGGGTTTGGGGGGTTAGGGTTTAGGGTTTAGGGTTTGGGGTTTGGGGTTTGGGGTTTAGGGTTTAGGGTTTGGGGTTTAGGGTTTAGGCTTTAGGGTTTAGGCCTTCGGGTTTGGGGTTTGGGGTGTGGGGTTCATGGGGCCGGTGTCACAGCAGCTCGGTGCCCTCCAGCTTGAGGGTTTCGTGGTTAGAAACTCGCGGCGGATGAGATTGACAGTAGCACGTGGCACATGGCTTGTGCAGGAGAGCATTCGTACCTGCCTTCGGCTGCAGCGCGTGTGTGCTGTCGACCCTTGGGGCGTCGAATGCTCGCCTAAGTTCCCTGATGTCGCCTGGCACGCGTGACCTCCACTTGTTTGGTTGGCATCTGCAGCTTTCGAAACCCTAAGCCCTCAACCCTAAAGCCTAAACCCTCAACCCTAAACCCTAAACCCTAAAGCCTAAAGTCTAAACCTTCAACCCTAAACCCTAAACCCTAGACGGGCCCGCAATTCTCGTAATAACTCTACACGTAGACGTGTTCAACACGCCCGTGCTCTCGATGGGAATGCCCTGTGCGAACCGCGGTTGGCTTAGGGTTTAGGGTTTAGGGTTTAGGGTTTCGGGTTTAGGGTTTAGGGTTTAGGGTTTAGGGTTTAGGGTTTAGGGTTAGGGTTTAGGGTTTAGGGTTTAGGGTTTAGGGTGTAGGGTTTAGGGTTTAGGGTTTAGGGTTTAGGGTTTAGGTTTAGGGTTTAGGGTTTAGGGTTTAGGGTTTAGGGTTAGGGTTAGGTTTAGGGTTTAGGGTTTAGGGTTTAGGGTTAGGGTTTAGGGTTTAGGGTTTAGGGTTTAGGGTTTAGGGTTTTGGGTTTTGGGTTTTGGGTTTAGGGTTCAGCATCTCAAGTTCGAGCATTTACTAGGCCAGTAGTGTGTTCAGGCAACGGAAAAAAAAAAAAAAAAAAAAAAAAAAAAAAAAAAAACACCCGCCCAAGGAATCCCATAACATTAAGAAAATATAAGGTTTTCATCCTACCCCAAAGAGTTTTACCTACCCAAGTCGGACACGTTTTCAACTGACCAACACCCGTTGCGGGAGGAAGGGGGCTAAAGGGACAGGGGGGGAAGGAAGGGGGGGTGAAGGAGGGGTGGTGGGGGGGGGTGGGGGGGGGGGGGGGGGGGGGGGGGGGTGGGGGCAGGACCTTGCCCACTAATTTTCGGACCTTGCCCGCTAATTTTCGGACCTTGCCCGCTAAATTTCGGACCTTGCCCACTAGTTTTCGGACCTTGCCCACTGATTTTCGGACCTTGCCCGCTAATTTTCGGACCTTGCCCGCTAATTGTCGGACCTTGCCCGCTAATTGTCGGACCTTGCCCGCTAATTTTCGGACCTTGCCCGCTAATTGTCGGGCCTTTCCCGGGTCCGAAAATTAGCGGGCAAGATCCGAAAATTAGTGGGCAAGGTCCGAAAATTAGTGGGCAAGGTCCGAAAATCAGTGGGCAAGGTAGTGGGTCAGCGGGCAAGGTCCGAAAATTAGTGGGCAAGGTCGTGGGGCAGCCAATGGACCTTGCCCACTGATTTTCGGACCTTGCCCGCTGATTTTCGGACCTTGCCCGCTGATTTTCGGACCTTGCCCGCTAATTTTCGGACCTTGCCCACTAATTTTCGGACCTTGCCCGCAAAGCCATTAACATTTATATTATATATGAAAGAGTGGTTTAGGGTTTAGGGTTTAGGGTTTAGGGTTTAGGGTTTAGGGTTTAGGGTTTAGGGTTTAGGGTTTAGGGTTTAGGGTTTAGGGTTTATTCAGGGTTTAATTAGGGTTTAGGGTTTAGGGTTTAGGGTTTAGGGTTTAGGGTTGGTCAGAAGAAAATCCGCGTGGTGCTGGAGCCTCCGAAACGTCTGCGGTTGAGGGTTTCGGATTGAGGGTTTGGGGCCCACTATCCCCGCGTCAGGGAGCTCGTTGAGCAAGGTCATGACGTTGTTGAGCATGGTCGGCAGGAAGATGGTCCTCAACTCTGCTCAAACAGAAAGCATGAAAGAGCCCCTAAACCCTGGACACCTGAACCCCAAACCTCAAACCCTAAACCCCCAGTCCGAAACCCTACTCTCATAAACCCTAAACCCCAAACCCTCACCTCCAAATAGAACACTCTCTCTAAAGAGTACATACCCCTAAGACCCCTAAACATCCAACCCCTAAACCCCTAAAAAAAAACTAAACCCGAACACCCTAAACCCTAAAACACACAAACAAATAGTTAAAATAAAGTTACTTCAACAAAAAAAAGCTGCCAGGGGACCATACCTCTCCCAGCAGCACTCGCCTTGAGGGCTTTTCCTTCGGCAGCTTGCCACATCTAAGCTTGGGGTTTCAGGGTTTCGAGGTTCAGGGCTCGGGGCTGGTTTAGGGTTCAGGGTTGAGGGTATAGGGTTTAGGGTCTCACAAGCATGTCAGAGTCTCCGAGACCAACCGAGGAGCACTACTGGGCTTTGGCAGAGTCATGGCATCCACGTAAGCAGAGCCACGCTTGCGCTCTGGGGTAGAAGGCACCGACGAGGCTGCCGGCTGGATCGGCTTGCTCTCTTTCCAGGAACAATTTTGCGGCCGGCTTTGCACCACATGTAGGCCTGCCCTTCATGAAAACGGCACTTCATCCAACCAATACCAAATCCACAGCGAGGGCAGACATCGTAAGGGAGCTGTTCCTTGCGGATCTGGACCTGCTGCACAGTGGTGTTTTCCTGGTCATAAACCGACTTGAATCCCTCAGGCAAGCGACCATTCTCGGCTTGGGACATGTCCAGTGCCTGTTGTTTCGCTTCTTTGGCCAATGATTCATTGTCGTCGAAAGCGGCCAACTGAGCCATCTTGAGCTGGTGCTTCCTGTCAGCGGTTTGAAGCTTGCCGAGCTCCCGGTGGGCAAGCTTTTCCTGTTCCTGGTGCCTCTTCCAGGCTGTGATGCCCTCCATTTCATTGGATCCATCATGCGCGATCGCCCTGAAGATGAAGGCACGAGCTGCTGGGGCGAATCGGCCGGAAGCCGTGCTCAGAACACCGCACGTGTGACTGCCACTTCCACTTATGCATCCACGACACTCTCCACACTTGAGGATGAGGGGCGCGCAGGTACGGCACTGACAGTTAAGCCACTTGAGGCGGCCAGCAGCTTTGGAAATTTCGTCTTCGCCACGCCGAAGTGACTCTTCGATCTTCTCCAGCACCAAATCTTTCGCAGCCACCAGCTTCGCGAACGATGCCGCATTCCCTCCTGGCTTGTCAGGATGCGCTCCCAGACTCAGGCGCCTGAACGCCTGATCTACCGCAGTGGGGTCTGCCGCCCAGCCAAACCGGACGCATCCTGGGCTTCGTCGGCATAATTGAGTCAGGAGCTACTGCCACCAGAGCTCGAAGAAAGGCTGCCCTAAGCAAACGAATAAAGAATCACAAATACTTCAACATGACATGTAATGTTGACTTTGCCACATACCAGCACACTAAAAACTCAGTCCCATGCTCATGGACCAAAGCTGGCAGACACGGCTTGCAGAGTGCACTGTTCTCTTGCTGGACTGCCACAACACTATACAGCAAGGCAAGCATTTGCCTGTCATCAAAAACATCGTGATCCATGGTTCTGATCCATGGTTCACAGACACGTGGAATCAAGCCGCCTAAGTCCTGCGGACATGGTACCGGGACGCCGCCCCTAAACCGTAAACCTAAGCCAAAACTGCAGTTCTGGAAGATAGCCCCACTCATCCTATGGGACACTGATGTTATGATTCCAGCTGGGCTTGGGCCTCCGCCCAAACCCTAAGCCCTAAGTCCCTCAACTCCTGAATCCATAGCCTTAGACTCCTCAACCCCTTAAGGGTTTCGGGTTTAGGGTTTAGGGTTTAGGGTTGAGGGTTTAGGGTTTAGGGTTTAGGGTTTAGGTTTAGGGTTTAGGGTTTAGGGTTTGGGGTGTTTAGGGTTTAGGGTTTAGGGCTCCCAAAAAAACAACACACCTGGCCTCGCTCACCGTGAAGGGCTCGCGCGCCTGCACCTCCATGGCTGCACGAAGAGGCGCGCGGCTCGCGGAAGCTGCGCCTCAAATTCCTGGAACTTCTTGAGCCCCCCCTGGGTTCTTAGTAGGGAATGGTATGCCCTGTATACACCCTTTAAGGGATTACTTAGGGTGCCCTATATGCATCCTTTAAGGGATTATTTAGGGTACCTCAATCCCTCAGTCCCTAGAACACGTAAGAACCAGCCAGGAACTGGTGAACTCCGCTCCTGAACCAGTGCGGAGAGAACTACCATTTTCCACCATATCTGGTAGTGGACCAGAGGCCAACTTCCCAAACCTTGAGCCCTAGACCCTTCGGGACGTGAGGACTGTCAAGCTTGAGCCGATTGCAAGCATCATTGGGCTCTTCAAGCGGCTTTCGGGCACCAACGAAACAAGCCCCAATCCCATCCAAACTAAGGATACTTGCATGGTCCCTTAGTACGGG